AACGGTTCACAGGCCTTTCTCTTTTTGTTTCGCAACGGCCTTCGACAGGTTTTTACTACCAAGTATCTTTTTTTATAATCCAGGTATTTTATTCATTTTAACAGAATTATCTGCTTTTATTCTAAGTACATGAATTCCATTTATCCGTTTTACGAATAATTATCAGTTTATTTACATCGGGGCTGTACTACTTCATATGAAGCATTTCAGACATTTTTAAGAAATTATTTGGCCTTTTTCAAGCAAAATATAATAAATTCATAAAATAATTCTGTTATTATGTTGAGCAAGTCTTTGTACAAAATTATTTATTTCAAGCGATTTTAATTCAGATTTGTAAAACTATTGATCAGTCAATTCATTCACACTTCACTTTTTCATAATTCATTTTACAATAAAGGCCCACCAGCGGCCGACCGGTAAAGTCGCTGAACACTGGTAGTTCGGTCCGAGGTTCGAATCCCGCGAAGGCGCTGGCTGCATGGCGTTTTCGTGGTTTTCCTCATGTATAACTTGCATATCAGCCAGTTTCTCTTAGAAAGTCCTCCACGAAGGCATCCCTCCCCTCAGGCAGATAGCCCTCGAGGCTTTGCCATAATTACACACACACATTTTACAATGCTTTTTTTCTCCCAATCAATTTAGCAAATGTATTTCATGCCTTAGGATTTCCTTCAAGCACGATTTTTATTACTTGGCTGGATTGGTAAATTATGATAAAATGGGAGCTGGTAATTTAAGCAAAACAAAATTACTACTGCATAATTTACTTCAAGGTGATTCTTAAACATCTGTTGTTACACTGGTTGCTGCTTATATGAAACTAGAAAGCCCGGCGGTCATACGAAATTGACCGCTGTTCTAGATATTATAAATTGTAATTAAAATGATTTGTGAAAAGGTGTCTGCTAATTCAAATCGGCAGGCGGCGAAGACGCCCCTTTGCTTCCTGCCCCACGGGGTTTCTCCCTTCTACTTGCTTAATTGCTTAAAGTAGAGTGCAATGAAGGAAACCACTGGCGGTACATTTCTTAAGAGCCACCGTTAGCTCAATAAATAAGGGTGGTTTAAATAATAAAATGTTAATTCACATGTCAAAGATTTCTTTGTACGCATCATTTCTTGTGTAGATCTTTCCATCATTTTTAAGCTCGCCTTGCAGAGGACCATCCATTATTTTTAATTTTACGTCCGTTCTTTCACGAACTTTTGAACAGGCAAGATAAATTGACCGTGTCCAAATGCAAGCTCAGGTAAAAAAATGCCAACACGCTTAAGCGTTTGGCCCTGAGACTTATTGATGGTCACGGCAAAGGCAAGATTTACAGGAAATTGTCCACGTCTCCATTGAAACGGCAACCCTGTGCCGTGACAACTTCACACCATTGGCTAGTACAGTTACGCAAGCAACCCATAAACTATCGGCGACAAACAGACACTTCAGCCGCATATAATATTTATTTATTTCATTTTATTTGTTTTTTTCATCGTTGCCGGTTGCATAATTCCGAATTCTATTATATATAGATGTTAAATTTATTTATTAAATGTTAAATGTACGTGCTCTTGTATTTATAATTTTTCCGCCTTAGCTTTCTCATAATATTCGTCACGCGCTGCATTGCACGGGGAATAAAACAGTTTACAGTTACGCAAGCAACCAATGAACTATCGGCGACAAACACTTAAGCCGCATATATATAAGACTAGCTAAAGTACTTGTTTTATGCTCGGATGGGAGTATTTTTATAATTTGTATTGTTTATCCAAATAAGCAAATTAAATAATACATGCAATTTAATAAAATAATTCAAAAAATAAACACCAAAAGTTTAAAGAATTATTCTCAAAAGGCATAATCTATAAACGCAGAAAGTTACGAAGCATACTTTTCGGTTGCACCCTTCGAGTGCACTCCACTACATCCTTACTGCCGCATGGCGAGCATTTATTGGCTTCTCCTTGACGTCACCACACACCGGCTCTTCTGTCTCAGTCACTCATCGCGCTCACACTGTCATTCCTGCAACGCATTATAACGATGACCCATTTTACCTACCACATTATATTATAAATTCCAACATTAATCGCACAGAGAGAGTTCATTTGTACTCGTTGTACATCTTGTCATAGGCCTTAAATATCTATCTTAACGGTAGGATTTTGCGTTATTCAGTTTTAATTTGATTTAGTTTATTTTAATTACGGCAAAGCACTCGAAGCTATCTGCCTAATGGGAAAGATGCCTTCATGGAGGATCGCTGATCTCAAACACAGACTGTGTGCGCGCCGAATACACGATCTGAAAACTGACGAGATAGAATTTATTTTTCCAACAAATGAACATTTTTCTATAAACAAACTAAAAAATACTTTAAATAGATTTTAAATTTCGTTTACTAAATACTTTATCGATATATACATAAATAATAATAAGAAGAACGTCGTAAAGGAAAAAATTCAAATTTATATTTATTTAACGTAAATCTAAAGAATAATTCTAACATGTGTAATTAATCATTAAATAATTTAATTTAAACTGAAAATCAAAAAATTATGAAGACTTTTCGAGTTTTCAGAGAAAATTTTTCAAGTGCGACAAAATCTGAGAATAAATAATGATAACCTAGCCTGTTTCTCTTATTTATTAAATTTGTCTTCGGCGCAAAAATAAAATGCATACGTTTGTATATAAATAGCTATAGATTTCTTGACTTTTTACTACAGGGTTTCGATTCTGAAAAAGCTTGCAACCTTGGGAAGAAATAAATATAAATTACCTTCATCACAGATTTTACAGCCACCCAGCCGGATTAGTGACTCTGACTATCGCACCGAACGTTCCGGGTTCGAATCCCGGAGAAGGCATGGGTATTTGTAAATGTATAGTGTCTATGAGGCATGAGGGCACTCTAAATATGCAGCAAGCCGAAAATCCTCTCGCGAGGTTGTTGTAGGGAAAGAGAAGTGAAAGATCCTCGGACCCGTCCCACCGAGGTGCCTGCAAAATTTAGAACGGTTTTTTTTTGGGGGGGGCGTGTTATTACGGCAAAGTCTCGACGGCTATCTGTCTAAGGGGAGGAATTTTCCAAGAGGAACTGGCTCGTATACACGTTACACATGGGAAAAACCACGAAAACGCCCATGCAGCCAGACTCCGACCGAACTACCAGTGTTCAGCGACTTTACCGCTCGGCCGCTGGTGAACCAAATTTAGGACGAAACTGAACAAAGTCATATTACCACCTGTATGGTGCCAGAGGCATCTTCTAATGACGGGCGCAATCTTAACTCCTTTTTACGATGATTTTTGTGGCCTTGCTCCGATTTCAGAAAACGAGGCTAGTGATAACATCAACAACAGAATGGTAGATGCTGACCATCAATCGGCTTCTTTTCATATTCAACTGTTTAAAAAGATATAATATCCACTCAAAGCGATTATTCTTAGTGCAAAGCCCATCAGCACTGGAGCAGTACAGCCGCTGAACTCTGGATTTTCGACCTAGTTTTGATTCCAGAGGAACGGACTACCTCAGTAGGCGTTATTGTGCTGCATGTGTAATAGGCTCTTATCACATCTAGCGACGGTCCCCGTTAAACGGGACTTTTCTGAGAAACGAGATTCTGGTAGCACTGGTTTAAACGGGAGGATTCCTAGAAAAAACAGCTCCGCTGGAAGCGAAGTGCCACCTACCTAGAGAAACGATGTCCCGGCTACGCGGGATATTTTGAAACTTCGCCGAAAATGTTTCGTCTGCAGCTCTGTCAACCAATCAGATTGGTGACTTTCGTCCGATTGGTAGCGATCAACGAATCAGACGAAAGTTCTGCTTATGAAGGATCATATGATCTCGAGCGATAATCGATTAATGTTTGGCGTCCAAACATTAATCGATTAATGTTTGGCGTTTAGTAAGTAAAAATTGTAACCTAGCTACGTAGGTTTCGTGCAAATGTGCAGGTTCTGAGAAATGAGTAGCGTCTAGCCCTAGCATGCTTCACGCATGCGCAATAGGCATATTTTCAGCATGGTAACCTTCGTCGCTTGGCCAAAGAACATCTGCGTACTGTCTATCTACGAGAAGAACAGCTCCCGTCACAGTGTCTGGCGGGTGGCGGTCGCTATAGCAACAGGGCTAGTATATTGCAAATAGGGGCGAATCAATAGTTGCTTTATTGTTATTTTGTTTTTGGCGTCTGTTTGCTGAGGGGAAAAGAGCTTATCGTTCATCTTCAAGACAACCCTACGGAAAATGGGTCAAGACTCGTTTCTGCGGCAACAGACAGCTGCAGACTAACTGGCGAGAGCTTTTCTTATCGTAGACAGACTGTATGTTTGGCTTGGCGATGAATTCACAATTCAGGCTTTAACGATGCGTAAGTGAAGTGCAGCGGAATGTGTGATATTTGTTTTCTTTGTTCCCAATATGTAAGCAATTATTTACGGAGGACTTAAAAAAGGGTATGGAGTGAGCTTTGTGCCCAAATATGCGACAATTTATTTACTAGGGACTTGAAAAAGCATATGGGGAAATAGACTTTATGAACTGTTTAAATTAATGATGTAGATTTTTGTAACGTGCAATAATCAATTAATTTAACCGTATTTTACATTTATTTCCAAATATATTTTTGTTTGATATTTCATCTTATATTTACTCTTGTTATAAAATTTCTTTTAAAATTTATGCTTTCCAGAAAGGCATGTCTCATTCTAAGCAAATAATTCTTGAGAGCTTAACATAATCGATTAATGTTACCTCATTTTACAAATTTGTTTTTTATTTCATATTTACTGTTATCATAAAAGTTCGTCTTTTAACAGGCATTCAGCAAAATAACATACTTTGGTCTTTTCTTTTCGTATTCTTAATTACATTATAGCGGTAATCCAAAAGGTAATCGAAAATAGGTCTTCGAACATTAAAAACATACAAAATTACCTTTCATACTAATCACGCTAAATATGAGAAATCAGTAACAGCTTAACTTCTTCAACGCTTCAAGGTTTTTATTCAGGCTTAACTTCCGCAACGTGACAAAATTTAGTAGAATAACATGTTTTTAGTTGCCAATCTCATGATACATCGCCAATTCTGTATAACGGACGCCAGCCAATAACGTCAACGAATCTGGTCATGGCGCATGCGTGAATGCGTGAAGCTAGGGCTAGACGCTACTTGAGAAATGTCACTTTCGACGTCCAGTCCCGCGTAGAGGCAACACATGTGATAGGGACTTTACGTGGCTACGAACCAGTTCTCATACGAACGGACGTGGCTTCCGAAAACGTGGAGGAACAGACTTCCAAAAAGGAATCCCTGCCTTTATGCCATGGAGCTAGGAAGTAAAAAAAAAAAAAGGATCAATGGATTTTGACATGATCGGATGTAAACATTTTGAAATTACGTCGTAAATATATGTATAGAAAAATAAAGAATATGTAAAAGATTAAATCAGCAGAGAAAATTAATTCCCTTATGTATTCTAAAAATAGTAACTTCTATTTGCACTGCATCAGTTCGAGAAAAATCTATGTTATATGACTCTTACATAATTCTGATGATGTAAATGAAACTAAAACTCAAACAGCCAATAGTAATTTTACAGCAATATTAACCTTCCAATCAAAATGCAGTGAGAACCAAAACTAACTCAGTCTGAATTAAAATTTCACTCTGAACATAAAACACTTGCTTTCACTGCTTTGGCTTAGCTGAACTGCTGTCTGTCTGCTCCTTCTTTTTTATTGCAAATCTATAAAAAATGTAAGCTTTTTGGAATAGGCACAATAAATGTGTCAATTTGTTTGTGGCCACAGTTCATTTGGCACTCGAGTTGTGCCTATTCAAAAACATTTACATTTTTGATATCATTGCAATAGCAAGCAGCATAGCGAAATTACTTCCAAGCAAAGCAGAGACAGAAACTTTGACAGATAGATGACAAGGAAGACATATGACAGAAACGAAAATCATTTTTCCAGCATGGAAAAAAGTAACACGATTAAAGCGTCACTAATGAGAATAAAGAGAATGTAGAAATAACATGAGGGTATGGAATGAAATTTTAATGAAAAAGTTTAGCTTCGAAAACAAAAAGAGAAGAAGCCTACGCTTTCCGAACGTAATGCCCTGCCGATATAATTCTAGCTATCAAGCAGAATGCTGGGCAAGAAATTTTTCCCCCAATCCGATCCGAGAACAACATGAGAACTAACGTAAGGTCTGCGCAAGTGACAATTTTTGTCCCCCGTAAAGTTTATAAGAGCTCTGCAGTGAAAGGACACTAGCGCTGGAAGTGCACAACTTTTAGTTTAGGGAACAGAACATTTTACTCGCTCTTATAAATTCATTGCACTACCTGGAGAATAAGCCTTTGACACGTAGATGGGGGTTTTCTTTCCTTAAAAGTCTTAGTACCTCCGTCAAAGTGTTTGTTCCGAAGTTTCACGATCATTAGAAAGCTGTGATAGATCAGCATTTACAAGAAGGTATCGCGATAGAATCGGAGGATTTAAAAACTGAAAAAGAGTTCTTTTTTACCCCCATTAAATTGTAATTAAAGAAAGCGAAGGCACCACAAAACTTCGTGTTGTGTTCGGCGAATCATCCATATGCTGAAAACAAACTGTCATTTAATTTTTGTTTAGAATGAGAGCTCTCTTTCCATCTGAAACACGTTGCATAACTTTCAAAATATTGTAAATATGATTTGTGGCTTTTGAAAAATCTAGTTGCGGCTCTCGAACTTTCCTGAATTCTGTCATGCGGCTCTTACTTAGGCCCTAATCACATTATGTTTCGGCTACGCGGGACTTGACGTTGAAAGGGACAAGTCTCAGAACCCGCACAATTCTAGGAAACACACGTAGCTAGGTTACCATTCTCATTTACTACAAAGACTTGAACGCCAAACAGTAATCGGTTATCGCTCAAATCGGGATCACGTGATCCTTGAGAAGCAGAACTTTCGTCTGATTGGTTGTCTCTACCCGGAACCTGAGATATTTTCGGTGAAGTTTGAAAAAAAAATCTCGCGTAGCAGCAACATTGCTTTCCGTAGCTCATTTCTCAGAAAAGTCCCGTCTAGCAGGGACTGAGGCCATGTGTGATAACCTCTTTAACAGGTACAGGTAAAAGTGTTGGGAGCACCAGAACTTCATTAAAGATTGCACAGGTATAGATCCCAATCACTAACCGAATAGAGCAAGGAGGGAAGGACAGAAGAAGAATAAAACTGATGCTAGTTCTTCAGAGGGAGATTTAGGAGTTTATTATTAAGACAGAAGGACAGAAAGGGAGAAATGTTATTCAACGAATTAATCCTTGTTCAGTTGAATCATCATATATATTATTTTTTATCTTTTAGTAGAATAACATCTAGGATGTTTTCTAAAATGATTTCTTCGAAGCATTTTCGTCATTATTTCCCGTATTAGTGACTGTAAGTTGCATTGGGTGGAAGATTTTGTTGGTTGCAATTTTGTAGATTGAGCCATATATATCCTGGCTGTTTGAACAATAGTTGTGCCATGCTTTAAATTTTGCCGATGTTATTTGCTTTTTTTTTTTTTTTTTTCCCTGTATTTTTAAAGTATGATGAGTCGTTCTTCATCAATTTGCGATGATTTGAGTTTTCTTCGTAATGCTCGTATTTTGTGTGTGTGTTTTTGCGGAGTTTTTTTTGTCCATCAGTTGATTTTTATAATGGGAGTTGATGATCTTTTCAAGAAGGTACGTTCACAGATATCTTGAATCTTTCTGATAAGTTCCTTGGTAATATTATTATTACGTTCTGGTTTAGTTGTACATGGAATAATAGAATTGGTAAAGTCATTTGAAATTGGCTTGAACTTTTGTTGAAATTTCTTTTCTTTGTTATTATTGATTTTAAATCATGTAAGTGCGGTAAAGGACGTATATTCAGTTATATCAAAAGAGATATATTTGTGATCAGATTCGGTATGTTCATCTAGTATTGATCTGTTGTTAATTTTATTAGCAAGATGTGTTGTAGAAATAAGAAGATCAGTCCAACCTTTATTGTAGGTATTATCAAAGGTAGGTGGGTCAATAAAATGATAATGTAGAATGAGATTGTTTGCATTTAAAAATTTTTCAAGTATTTCTCCTCTGTGATCAGTTTATAAGTACCTCAATAAAGTACTATGCAAGTTAAAGTCTCCACTATTAACATGCGGACTATTATACTTTTGTAAGATTTAATTTAGTATGGATAAGGTTTGATTTGGATTTTCTGACAGAGATATATAGAAACTAGTAAGAAGAAGCTGAGGTGCATTAGTATTGATTGAAATTGTGATTAGGTCTGGAGTATTCATAATTATTGTAGGATTCCATTTATTGTTTGGAATGAATATGGCTGTACGAGGAGATAAAACAGCATTTGAAGCATGACGATGAATAATTTTCCAGTTATTTGGAATTCTTCCTACTTTGCCAGTGATGGAATAAGGTTCTTATGTTATAATAAAATCTGCCAGATAATCTACTTGATACTGACATAGTTGTTCGGTGGCGGTCTTTGCTCTTTGAAGATTTATTTGGAGAACGCGGATGCCATTATTATTCTCTTTATTGATGGAAATGGTCTATAGGTAGTCTGCAGGATCTTGCATTATTGTTGATAATATGTATTGGATTTTACTCGTCTAACTTCTGTTTGATATGTGGAGCAGGAAATAGCTGAAGCTGGATGTTTACAGTCAAAGTTTGTTGCATACTTTTCATTGTTAATCCAGCAGTTTATGCAGTACGGAGTTTGGGTAGAGCAGCAAGAAAATTCATATTATTTTTCCGCCGCAGAATGAGCATTTTGGTTTGAAATGGTTTTTGTCTTATGAGAGAAATCCTGACAGACTTGACATCTGCGTACACCGATAAACTCGGTTATTTTATTGGTGCGCCATCCAATATATATTTGTTTTTTACTCATAAATTTTGGAAAGTTTGACCGTGACATTTTATGATCCATTTATCAGTATTATTTTGATCATTCAGTTTAAATAAGGGTCTTAGCTCGGAAATATTTGATTATGTTTCTTGGGCTATAATTTGAATCAGTTCGTCAGAGTTGAAATTTTTTGGAATATTATGAATTGTGCATTTTGGTATTCTGGCTTCAGGAAATTTTATGTTAACTATATCTTTTGCAACTGTTTTGGCAATGAGGTTATAGCTGATTTTTTCTATATCTTCTGGGTTATGACAGTGTATTGCAAGGCCTCCTTGACGAATGGCGTTCATTTTTTTGACATTGATATTTAATGTTTGGAGTGGTAATATTTCTTGCAATTTATCTTGAAAATTTCTACATACTCTTGCATCCTTTGGGTATAAGAGTATGGTATTATTCGGTTTACTTGGTATAGTACTCGTAACTTCTGCATATGATCTTGAATTATTATACATGAAGTTATTTCTTAGTTGGTTTATTTGATAGTTAGGATCATTTCTGGGTTCTAGGTTATTGTTATAAAATTCCATATTTGGATAAATTTCTTCTCTATTCACTTGAAGACCGTCGTTTGATTCTACTTGTTTATAACTGAAATTTAGTTGATATCCTATATTGTCAATAAATGGATTAAATGATTTTCTTTTATCATGAAGAGAGGAGTAATTATGTACTTGATCCTCTTGTGTTTTTCGTGGATGTATATTGGCAGAATTCTCAATTCTTTCTTAGATTGGTGTTTCAATCATATTTTGCCATGATATTAGGGGTTCAAAAGTTGGCTGCAAGGTTGAGTGCTTATTGGAGATGTTAATGCATCATTTAACGTTACTGATGTTGGTTCAGTTGCAACGTCATGAAGATTGAGTGATGTTGGTCCCGTTGGTCTAGTTGAGGTGTTATCCAGTGCACAATCTTTGAGGAAGTCGACAATTGATTTAATTTTGTTGCAAAGCTCTTTAGAAAGATATCTCTTACGCTTGCTATCGCTCTTTAAAAGAGAGATGCAATTATCGTAAGCGTTTTGAATTTTCATTAGTCTTTCATTATTCGAACCTAATATAGTTGGAATATGATTTTATTCCGTAGATAATGCAGATGATGATGACTTGGATTAATATGAGAATGAATAGTGGAGTCGGAAATATTTAGTGATGATTTGCTTGATGATTTTGACATGTTGCGTTAAACGAGTAGTTATCAAATAAGTCTTAATAGTGAATTGTAAAGTTAAAATTATAAAAAGAAATATATTAACTTAACATGAAATTTGAGCACCTCTGTTATATTACATCGCATTAAAAGAGCGTTCTGAGAATTACATTTATCAACAAGAATAATTTCAAATGGGTGAGCAATTG